TAGCCTGTTGTCTCTGGCCATTTCCACAGGGTAAAAAGAATGTTTGTACTCCTTCTTGTTGATGTAATTCACTCAGCTGACAGTTTATGATTTCATTCATTCATTTGCTCATTCAATATATAGTTATGTGCCAGATATAGTGTTTTTCCTCCCCATTTCTTCTCTTAGCACTGAGTGATGGTGCTGGGCCTGGTTGGAGGAGCTGAGCCCATGTATAGTCAGTGTGCTTAGATGTGATAGGAGCAGAGGGGACAGTATTTGAGTAATTTTCCCTGTTAATATGCAGGCCTGCTAAGACCTGCTTTATAGGCTTCTACCTGTACCCACTCTTACCTAGAAATGCCTGTGGATGTTCAAGGTTGTTAATTAGCTATTCAAAGATAATCCTTGGGAAGCTCATATTTTCAAACCAAGTATCTTTCCACGGTATTTCAAAATTCTCTCCTTAGATAACACAGGTAATCCCTCCCATTTATTGAATGCCTAGCAGGCAGAACATTATTCATTTCACTTACATTGTTTTATTAAATCTCTACAACAAACCTCCAAGGTGGGAATTATGATTTTACGCATGACGAAAGGAGGGAATGGAGAGGCCAACTGATTTTCTCAAGTTAGAACATGACAGAACCAGAGGTAAACCCCAATTTGTCCAATGCCAAAGCCAGTGCTTATTCCAGGGCTTCTGTCTCCCATGGGCACATTGGATGGACCCTGTTAGTCAATATCAAGCCTTATTTTCATTATTAGGTCCCACTTAACCCATGCATTATAGTAGTGTCTATTCAGTTCAGTTTGGTAAGTCATTCTGAAACTGATAACCAGACCTGAAATGAATCCACAAGACCATGAGATAAAAATGACCCTTTATGGTAGCCCAGGAGTTGAACTTGGGTTTCTGGACTCCAAATCCTGAGTTCTTCTTTGGATCCCAGAAAAAAAAAAAAAGGGACACAGACCCTTTCTGAGCTTATACTGTATTAGAGGAACAAGACTTACAGAAGGCAACTCTGCCCTTGTTGACAAAGCAAATCGTATAAATACAGCTGAATATCAAATGGATGCTATCAAAAGTAGGTCTACTAGGGGAACCTGGAGAGGGCGCTTGTGAGTAAAGTTGCAGTATTTCCAGAATGTATCACCTGGCCTTAATGCATCTGCATATCAATAGGTGTTTCCAAGGGATTGAGAGAAGTAGTCCATCTCCATACCAATAGGTGATTACATGGGGGATCGAGGGCATATCTGGACCAGAGAGGTTGGGTGGGGTCCCCTTTTTGCAGCTGGGTTGTGAGAGACACAGGCCATCAGAAGTGGACAACTGCTTGTAAGCAATAAGTGGCTTTGTCCCACTTCATTTCTCCCTTTGACTGATTTCGGTTTCAAAGGTAGTTTGCCCCAGGCTGGGAAAATCTTTTCTCCCTGGAGTTACAGGTCTGCTCCTGTGATTTCTTTATCTTTTCACAAAAGTTGGGAGAAGTCTTTGGCCTTGCCTCCTGTTCCACATGGAAGAACTCTCACCAGAATAATGGGTCTGCATGAGATGTGAGTTATCTAACTGATGGATGACAAGGATTCCATGGTTAATGGTGCATCTTCCTTGACTGGGTAAAATTCATCTATTTAAAATCTGCAAGGCTAGAATCATGGGAGATGCACACTTTTCCCACTCTGCCAGACCAGTGCAAGGCAGTGGCTCAGTGCATCTGCTCAGGTAGTCGGTCCCATCATTCAGACTGCGCTGTGGACCGCTGTGGGCGCAGATTGTCAGGCAGCCCTGCCTTTTTGGCCACAGGCATAAATCCACATTCTCCAATCAGCTGCCACTTTCACCTCCATCTGTTAGTCTCCTGGCTATTATTTCTCAGTTACTTCAGAATGCCACAGGGAAAGAAGGAGGTGCTATTTTTTGAACTCTTAAAACTTGCAAAATATAAAGCATCTGCTTTCTTTTTTATTTAAAATCCAGCAACCATCATGGCTAATTACTGAGCCAAAGGAACTCAACATAAAATAGCTTTATTAATGTTTTAATTGGCATAATAAATGCTCAGTGATAATTTATCAAAAAAAAAAAAAACCTTTTTAAAACATGGTGACTGCTTTTGCTAGGGCCCCTGGCAATTTATGACCATCGTAGGGGTTTGTGGCAAATAGTTCCCTGCGAGCCTAGACTACCTCACCTCATGCAGATGCCTTGTCTTCTTGCATTTTCAACCCTAGAGCCCTTTCCCGAGCTTGCAGGCTGCTCACTCAAGCTGCAAGCACAGCCTGGAATTGTGGGGAGTCAGTGGTCACAGGGGCAACCCTAGCCAATGAAGGAGAGGAGCCGTGAGGAAATGCTCTGAATGCCTGTCCTCTGGATGCATGATTCAAGAAGGCATTCAGAGCATTTCTCTGAAAGTCCAAGGGGAACCAAACCACATTTCCCACAGAAGTGATGGCAGCACACCCTGTCGCTGGTATTTCTTCCTTTCTTGTCTCTGCTTTCTCATTCCTGTATGCAGGCATCACTTCTCAGTTAAACTACCTGCTCTCAAATCATTCCTTTGGGGAGACCCAAACTAAGGCAATGACAAAAAGGGGTGTAATCTGTCTGGGAGAAGCAGACTCCTCCCTGTATGGACAATTCCATCCCAACCTATTCCACTACCACATACATATATACCACACACATACACATGTGTGTACACACTTATATACAGGTGTGCACATGCAGATACACCACAGAGAGACACAGACAAATGCACACAGAGATACACAAAGAGACACACGTATGGAGACAGACACACAGAGACAAATACGTATGTACAGACACACACACATAGAGCCTGTTTACTGTCAGAGTCATTGCCTCTGGTCAGGTTTTGCTGTTACCACCTAAAGGTATAAAGAAAAACCATCTCTTCATCAAAACCATGCCCCTGAATGATGGCCTTTTCTTACAGGCTAGGGTTATCCAGCTATACTCTTCACATGTGCTGTTTCCTACAATCAAGCAACTGGTTTAAGTGCAAGACAACATCTTATGAAATTGTGAGAAAATGTCAAGGTCTTAGTTGAGCTGAATTACAAACACAGTTTCGAGTTCCTCTCTTGGCTTATCCCCAGTCTGAATAGTTCAGTAATGCTTTCTGACACCTGCTACTATCCTTTCCCCATTTTAGCCAATAGCCTTTTCTTTTGAATCCTGACCCATATGTTTTCCCTAGATCACCTTCCTCTTCATTCTTTTGTTTGGGTTATTGCTACTGAGGTCCCCTTATTGTTTGGGGAGGAGCATGTTTTTTTACATTTGGGCTCCTGGACTATTCTTTGAGATGCTGGTTGAAACAATTATGCTGGACATGGTTTCCCACACAAGCTTTCCTGTAATTTCACGGTAGTTACAGCCTCTGTTTTATCCCCATAGTGGGCTCTTTCTCTTGGAGTCTCAATTTTTGGGGTCCTGTTGCAGGCTAGGTTCCGCAGAAGCATACACTGAGATTAGCACACAAGAAGTTTCTTAGGGAATGCCCTGGTGACCAGCAGCTTGGGTGTGGGTGGGGGAGTGGAACGGGCAGAGAGGGAAGCTGTGCTGCAGCACAGATGCCTCGTGCCTCATCCCACGGACAGTCCTGAGCTGGGGAAGCTCTTGGAAGTGGTCCTGAGTTCAGGCGAAAAGCTGGCCTTGTTTATCCCCTTGTGGCCCAGCCATTGGATGTTGGCTGCTTGGGGAGAGATTGTGACCTTGGGCATGACAGGTTGACTCGGTCCAGGCAGTTCCTAAAGACGGCTGACAGCTAAGTGCAATTGGCTGCCAGCAATCCCAGCAGCTGGGGACGTAAATCTTTCAGCCTTGGACCTGGGAAGCACAGCCCATCATCCACAGTCTCTCTACCCTCTGCTCCTTAATCTTCTACATTCTCTAAGTCCTCAGCCCTAAATTCTGGCTAGAGATCATCCAGGTGAAAATCAGATTAAGCAACATCTTAAAAAACAAGCAGAAAAATCTGTAAAAATTGTGGTACAAAATAGTCCTATTTCCTTGTAAAACAAAAATTGAAACATCAAATTTCTTTTTTTGTAATGAAGGTCTCTGTTCCAAAATATTTTTCTGAAACCTAAGGCATTCTTTCCCAAATGCACTAACCTTTGTGAATTCTGTAGGAAATGGAAATTTTATTTCAAAAATGCACCTTGAAGCAATTTGAAAATAAAGAGGACCTTCCTTTTGAACCATGCTAAAAGTTAAGCTGGCCCACAGGCACTATGGACCAAACTTCCTAAGAGCTCAAAATATGCAATGATTATAATAACAGATATCCTAGAGCATGTGGCAGGATTGTTAAGTAATATAGGAAATACTTAGCCGGCCCTCAGTCAGAAACTCATACATTTTTTTTTCTGAACTTAAAATACTTGCATACATTTTCTAACTTAAAATACATTAAAATGTCTTTCAGACATCACAGAATTATGTAAAGAAAGGAGTGCAAGCACATTTGGAGATATGAACAATTCAATATTAAGTCACTGTTAAGGGTTGAATTGCATGCCCTCCAAACCCACCAAGGAAAGGTATTTGAAGTCCTAACTGCCAGTACCTCAGAATGTGACTTTATCTGGAGATGGGACTTTTCCAGAGGTAATGCTAAAATGGGGTCATTAGGATGGGTGCTAATCCAAAATGATTGGTGGTCTCATAAAAAAGGGATTTGGGGACATAGAGAAAAACACACACAGAGGGAAGCTGATGTGAAGACACAGCGAGAATGTCACCTCCAAACCAGGGAACACCTGAGGCCACCAGAGGTGAGGAGAAAAGGCGCGGAACAGATTCTCCCTCACGGCTCTCAGACTGAGCCAACCCTGCGTACACCTTGATTTTGGATTTCCAGGAGAAAAGGCGTGGAACAGATTCTCCCTCACGGCTCTCAGACTGAGCCAACCCTGCGTACACCTTGATTTTGGATTTCCAGCTTTGAGAACCGCGAGACAATGAATTTCTCTTATTTAAGCCATTGCAGACCCGGGAAACCAATACAGCCACTCTGAGAGCATCTTCTCCATTCAGTTCATGCTGTCATCTTCCATGAAGGCAGCTTAGGAGTCAAATGGACTTGATCTTGGTTCAGTCATTTGGGTAAGTGACTTTATTTCTCCAAGCCAGTGTTCTCATGTGTAAAATAAGAACATTAATAGTACCTACTATTTAGTTTTAACCTAGCTAAAATAGATGAGATCCTCCCTTTCCAGGTCCTTATAAGTTCAAGAGCACCACATAAGACCAACTGACTATCTTCCAACAAATGCTTATAAATCTAATGGTGGACACCCTGATCCTTATAATTTTTGTGCCTCTTAGAGATTCAAGTTCAGCATCACCTCTGTCCATTAGAGCCCACTGCTAATATTGCAGTTATTTCTTATCAGCTCTCAATGATCAAAGCTGTTAAGTCTCCTGAAGCAAAACCATTCACTATCATTATGTCTTGAGGAAGTCATAAACCAGGAAGAGGACAATCTCAGAGCAAGCACCAGCCTTTCTTGACATGCCATTGTGAATCAGTCTGGAGACACTGTAGATTAATTAATAGCACAGGTCACAGCCAAAGACCACCCAGCAAGGGCCAGCTTCCAGCCTTTTTTTGAGCCAGATATGTACATGGGATTTTATTATTTTAAATGTATTTTTAAAACCAGATAATCACCCTTGACTTGTGCAGCAGAGACTCTTCCAAATAATAACCAAATATTACAAAACTTCATATAGGTGATATTTGGACTGTTGGTTAGATTTGATTATCTGAACTGTTTTCTTTCATTGACAACAATAACTAAACACCAATCAGACCACAGTGAGATACCCCTTCACACCTATTACAATGATAATAATAATAATAATAATAATAATAAAAGAAACCAGCAGGTGTTGGTGAGGATCTGGAGAAACTGGAATTCTTTTACTTTGCTGGTGGGAATGTAAAGGTGCAGTGTTGTCAGAAAGTTTGGTGGTTCCTCAAAAAAGTTTAAAATAGAATTACTATGTGACCCAGCGATTCTACTCCTAAATATATACCCAAAAGAACTGAAAACAAGGACTCAAACAGATACTTGTGCAATAATGCTCATAATGGCTGTAGAAACAGCCCAACTTTCCACCAACAGATGAAGGGATCACAAAATGCTGTGAATGTCTGCTGTGGAATATTATTCAGCCATAAAAAGAAATGAAGTTCTGATAAATATTACAACATGGATAAACCCTGAAAACATGTTAAGTGAAATAAGTCAGACACAAAAGGACAGACAAATATGTATGATACCACTTAAATGAAACATCTAGAATAGGCACGTTCATAGACTCAAAAATTAGATTAGAGGTAACCAGGACCTGGGTGGAAAAAGGATATGGGAAGTTAAATGCTTAAGGGGTACAGAGCTTTTATTTGGGGTGATAGAAAAGTTTTGGAAATAGGTAGTGGTGATGGCTGCAACATTATGCATGTAATTAATGCCACTGGATTGTATAATCAAAAATGGCAAATGTTATGTATACATTACTATAATAAAAGAAAAACAAAAATATAATTAAGTCGATTACATAATCATTACATAGTCTTTTCATGTAGAACCTGGGGCACAAAACCAGGATCTGTACACACATTGATATCATTTTGTCTTCACAGTGTTAGGAGATAAGGATTACTGCCTCCGTTGGACAACTGAGAAAACTAAGCCTCAGAGAGGAGTGTGTGGCTACTAACTGGCAGAGCTGGGACTGGGTTGAAATACTAGTCCTTCCCCAGCACAAAGTAGACAATGCATAAATGTTCTGGGTATCTACTACCTATCAAGATGGCCCAAACATAAATATCCATTCCTTCTTTACAGCAGCAGATACAGGTTAGTAGGGAAGAAGGGCCCGATGGGCCCCATAAAGGAGAATTTCTTCATTCTGTTGAAGGGAAATTGAGCAGAGGTTTCTCAAATTCAGTGGATTATCTATGAAGATAAGGTTTGCCTTGAAAGTGCTTCTGGAATGCTTCATGTATTTGTGACCTCAGTTGTCTGAAAGATAGCCAAAGCCCCAGAAGTGAGCAAAAATCACCTGCTAATAACACCCAGGACAGCAGAAACAAGTACAATTATGTGAAAGTTCCAAAGCTGGCTGCAGTGTTGAGGCTGTGGCCTTTCTGCGTATTTTTGCAAAGCCTTCCCTGATCCCCACTCCCAATCTGCAGGCAGCCTTAGTGGGGTTGGAGCTGGAGTGGGGATGGAATGAGGCAGCTTTTCCTAAGAGAATTGCAAATGCCTATGAAGGAGAGCTCTGCCCTCCTGGTGAGACAGGCACCCCACTGCACCCTCCCAGGTCCACTTCCTGTGTTCTGTCTCACTTTGGACTCTTCTTTATCTATTGAAGGCTTAAATGCTGGGCACACTTAGGGTTCCCACTTCTCTTTTCATATATCCGCTCCTCTTGACTGACCCATCCACAAACATGACTTCAGCTACCCCTTGTTCCTGATGACATCCCCATTTCCAGCCCTGATGACTTGACAACTCCCTTGAACTAAGGAACGTTATATCCATTACACATTTGCAACTGGGTGTGCCCAACTATATCCATTTTCTAAAACCTTAGTTTCTGTTGGAATTTCAGCATCAACCACCCAGTGACCCAAGCCAGTAGCCTGGGAACCCTCCTGCACGCTCTTCTTTTCTCCTCCCTCATCTTTTCCTCCACCCTCCTTAGCGTTTCTGTCTTGTCGATTCTATCTCCTGTGCATTGCTAATCCATCCCCTCTTTTTCACCCCACTGTGCTGTGTTTAATTCCTCCTTATCCTACCAGGACCACTGAAGTGGACTGGATATGTCTCCCTGCCTCCAGGCTTATTCCCCTATAATCTGTTATCTGGGATTGATTAAACAAACAAAAACACACGTGGTCATGTTTTGCTTCTGTCTTAAAGTTCTCAGTGGCTAATGCGCACTTGCAAGATAACTTTCAAACATCCAAGCTTGACATGGTTGACAAGTTCATTCATGTTTTTTACAGCTTTGTCTCTGGCTGCTTCCCTGAGCTATAGTTATCCTGGCCTTCTTGTAATTCCAAAAATGCACCATGGCCCATCTTGCCTTTATGTTTTGGCACATCTGGTCTCTCCACCTGGAATGTCCCTCTACCCCTCATCCCTTACCTCCCTGCTTAACTCTCAAAATCCTTAGGGACATAGCTAGAATATCTTTTTGAAGCATGTCCTGATTGCCCTGAGCTGGGTTGGAGGCTTCTCCTTCATGGTCTTCCGTTATCAGTCTGTGCCAAACTCTTCCTCCTCCTCCTCATGCTGTCTTAACACTGATTTCTTGCAGAATGCCTTCACTAGGCTAATTATTGTAGGCAGGAACTGGGTCAGGTGGTTTGATACGTAGGAGGGACGAAAGATGTGTTGAATGAATGTTCCTTGCCTGGAATATTATTCGTTCTCAGCCTACATCATAGGGGGTTGCTAACCAACCCGTCCCAGCAATGACAGCAATACACTGAGGGCTTTTTGAGACTCTCAGTTTGGTTGAGAAACTGAAAGTCAGAGCACGTTAGACAGGCAGTAGGCACAGAAAGACGGTAATGATAATAATAAACCCAAATTATTTGGTGTGGCTCCTTGTCAGGGAAACTGGTGGGCATCCCTTGTTTTTGCCTATCAGCAATGCTCTTCCTTTCTTTTACAAATAGCTCCCTGGCATGTATTTGGGACACCAACCCTCCCCTAACACCCCAGTCCCTGTAGCTCAGGTGGGGTTAATCCCAAATTTCTGAGCCATTGGTAGGCACATGACCTAGGCCTGTCCAATCAGAACATGGCATTCCCTTTCCCTCAGCAATAGGTCCAGACACAGTCACATGACCCAAGTCAGACTCATGACACTAAACACCAGGACATTCTCTGGAGCTAAATAGATTTCCTATTTTCAGTGAGGTTCCATCGTGGAAATATAAGGGAGAATTATAAGCCTGTAGTGACTGGCTGCCAGCCTCGGCTCCATATGGGAAAAAACTTGAGAATGAAGCCCATGCTAAAGATGGAAGAGCAGAGAGGGAGAAAAACAAATTGCTGATGATAATGTTTGAGTGTCAAATTCAACTTTGCATGAAGCCAACCTGTTTTGTTTTGTTTTGTTTTTGGTTACATGATAAAATAAATTCTCCTCTTGAATAAGGTAATTCAATTTGGGTTTCTGACACTTGCAAGCAAGCAAAAGAAGCTTAATTAATACTGAAATCAGCATAATCAGCAAGTCTAGAGAGAAAATGTGAATACAGCGGAAGCTGGTTCTGCGGTCTTGTAACAAGGATGTGTTCCCTTCCATTCAAACTATTTCATCCAGTGACCCTCTGGGCCCAGAGCACAAGAGAGTGTCCTCAGGGGAGTGTGGGTCTCAGTCTAAGTCCCACTTAGATGGGGGCATATCTCTTCTCTATCCCATCTTCACTTGCCAAAAAATTTTGTGTTTTGAAATGTATTTTGTTTTATATTTACTTTTAATTACAATGCAAACATGAATACATTCTTCTTGTAGAAATCGAAGTCTTACAGAAAATGCAGAAAGGCCCTGACTTTTACTTGACCATTTTCCTCCAGAGGCTATGCTGTACTCAGCTTATATCTTCTAATCCCTTGTAATTTAGCAAAGACACACAGAAGAACACAGAGGTTTGTTTTATGTGTTGGCTGTATAGGAGACGGTAACTGAGATTATGAAGGTTCTGCTCACACATGCACCAAGGGTAAAATTACATTAAAAAAAAGTCTCATGTCTGATGAGAATTAGACTTGGGGTGGATTAATGATTGTGCATTGAGTCCCCTGTTCAGAATTTTATTGTTGTTAACTGTTAACAACCATTTGATCAATAAATATGAGAGATGCCCTCTCAAAAAAAAAAAAAAAAGTCTCATGGGAAGGAGAGGGTGGGCTAAACTAAAATTTTTGGTTGTATTTTTCCCTCCTCACTCATTTTTTTTTAAAGAAATTATTTAATATATAAACATTAATGTAAAAGATTTAAAAAATGCAGAAATTCACAGGACAAAATGTGAAAATCTTCCCTCATCTCAAACTCAGCCTACCTCTCCCCCTCCCATCATCTGTATATTGTGTACTTTCCAGTAATTTTTCTCTGCATGTTCATTACATGCAGGTAAAGTAGAAATACAGTTAAGAAAATGTTTCCATGTCAGTGTCATCAGATTAAAGGAAGTTATGAAAAGCAGACAATATGCCTTTAGGTATAGAGATACAGGACGGGCAAGTTATAAAGGGCAGGAGAGACAGGAAATCTCTGTGCACAGCCTTAATAGGGAGGGTTGGGCAGTCGGGGTGCTGAGAATTTGTGTGGAAAGAAGTGCGCAGTAGGAATAGGTCAAAAGTAAACCTACCTGGCTTCTCAGCTTTCCATCCCTGATTCTCAAATCCTGAGGCTGGAAGGGTGCTGTAATGGTAATGGTAGTAATGAGATGCTCTCATTTTTTCTATTCCTAATTTCTGCTTAAAGCTCAGTATTCTTTCTTCAAGCATAATATCTGTTTTTTTCCCTTTGCAGAAAAACCAAGCTAGCTAGCTATTTTTCACCCTGTATGCTAATTTCATAACTTGAGATGAATGGTCTTTGATGAATTTTTCTTGTTTTGAGTTCTGTTTTTTAACTGGCAGAATTTTCCTCCTCCTCCTCTTCCTCTTGTCCCTTTTCTCCTTCCTCCTTCTCCTCTTCATCATTCTTTACTCTCTCCTTGTATTCAGCATTTTGGTGGGGATGGGGAGTGGGGAATGCATTTTCTTTACTGTCTTTCCATTTTGGACTTTCATTCAATTGAGGCCCGATTTAATGATTATTTACCTAACATGCTATTTTACACCAAGGCTTGAGAGAGTACTGATCACACTTCCAAAATTTCTGAGCATGAAGACATTTGGTGTGACATAAACATACCACTGGGATGACTGACACTCTTGCCCTGTTTCCTGGGAAGCAATGCAGTGCCGTGAGAAAATCCTTAGCTGGGAGTCAGGCCTGGGTGTGTGTCCAGCTTCTACCATTCACTAGTTTCAGGATTTCAAGGTACCTAACAAAGTCTTAGTGTTTTCTTCTGTGAAATGGGGAAATGTTTCATTGGGGTATTATTTATTTTATTAAATACAACAATATATATGTAAAACACTGATTTAATACTGAAGTGCTGTTTTTCCACCCTAACATTTTGATTTAGAGAATCGTCAATGGGAATTTCATACCATCCATCCAGTTAACCAGGGTAGAGAAGGAGGGAGTGGCTGGCTCAGGCCCATGTGTCTAAGAGGAAACACTGCTTTATGCTTCTTTTCTGCCATGTTTACTCAGAAACCTGAGCTTGCTTGACCTAGTGCAGGAAGAAAGCGAAGAGCTGGAAATGTGATTCCTGCTTTACAGAAAGGGGATGATGAATGTATGCGGAACAGCCAGTAAAGGGTAAATGACTGTTTGCTCACTGAAGACATAACTGCAATTTCATTGTGCTAACAAGCAATGTTCCCAAGCTTCAGTGAATTTCATTTTGAAACCCTTCATTCGTTTTCCTGTTTGTATAGCAGGAAGTTTGAGTTGTGAATGACCTCAAACTAACGTAAGCAAGAGTACAAACACACTGAGCTATTTTACTGGTCAGAAGAGTGGTGGGTGCTGGCCGCAAGCACCACTAGGTTTGATTTCTCACCCCCATCTCTGTACACCCACCAGTGTACAGGTCCCATCTCTTTCCTGGGCTGTGCTAGCCTGATAGCTTCTGA